CAGGGTATAAGAAGTCAAGTTTTTACTGGAAAAATGTTTTACTGCAAGTAATTTCATTGTAATTTTACAGGAGGAAACACATTATATAGGAAGTAAGAAAAATGATATAGTAAGTACATAGTAACTAATTTTAAATAGTGCGTGAATTACTTTAAAGTAGTGCAAAATTCATTGTAAGAGGTGTGTTACTTCCAGGTAATTTTGCGGAAGAGTGTAGTGTAGTAGCTTTTGTGTACAAACACAAAATAAACCAAAGATATGACTGAAATGTACAAATGAAAAACAAACCTAAAAGTATTCATAGCTAAAAAAAAAACCCAGTTTATTCTTGTTGTGAATGTGCATTAAAATGATTCTATTAGTCTTTTTTCACTCATATTAATCAGGTTTTTTTTACCCCTCTGTCATAAAAGGCTAATGGGGTTAAAATGCTGATGTCATCCACCCACAGTAGTTATTTCTTTCTTCACCCTGCCCGGTGGATGGGTGGGTGGCATGAACGCCCAAGTCTGTAAATCACTGACTCCATCACTATACGACTTCATGGGCCTTGATGGACGTCCTGCGATGTTTGGTGGAGTTTGTTTTTCTTGTAAGGACTGAAAGGAAGAACGGTCCTTATCACATGTTATATAACAGGACAGGTGAATAGTGGAACATCCATAAAGCAAAAAGACGAGTTCAGTCCACCACTGCTTACAGTTACTTACACACTATTTAAAATTGCTCTCAGTATAATTTGAGTCTCCTTTCCTGTAAAAACCTGAACTGTTACCCTTTTATTCTGCACTGTGTACTGGATAAGGATTCGTAGGTAAATACACTGTAATTTCATTTAATTTTTGGTGAATTACACCCTTAGCAATGGGTCATATTTTAAAAATGCTACTTGAATTGTAAACACTGTGCACATGATGTTTACCGAGTACAGAGCTTTAGTATCTCTGAACATTTGCAGTCTGTCTTTTTGACTGTCGTCCACATTTCACTTTCTGTTTCATGTCTTTATTTTTTCTTCCTGTATTTCTTTTGTGCTATTCTTCATAACAAATCGCTGCCCCACACTCGTAGCTCTGGTGTGAGCCCTGGATGGAGAGGTTTGTGACAGTTCGATTATGAGTGTTGTGGTGGTGTTACTCATAATGAGAGAGCGCCTCCTCCTGACCGCTGAACTGTAGTGCAGAATGACCCCGATGCTTTCCCTCGCACTTCCCCTCTCTCCTGCACGGTTGTTAGTGTCTAGACCTGCAGACTGTGACTCACAACCACTCACATAGAGATCTGTTTACCTAGCACTTAATATATGAGACACTGCTATAATGATTAATAGTTATTAATCTCAGCTAAGGCTGTATTTGAATCACTCGACCTGCACCAGAAATGGGTTTAGTTGCTCACGTGCATCCTTTTGTTTTTCCTCATCTTTATCTCCTGGATTGTAATTAATGCCTCATACTGAGGCTGTGTCAGCGGCTCCATCGCGGCTTTGTTAATATTGATCTCTGCTGTTATTCCAGTGGTTTGCCCGACATAGACGAGAGGGAGGCTCTGCACAGGTTCCACATTGTTAAGCGTGATGAAAAGAAGAAGAGGACTCATTGTTTTGTTTTTTTTGCAAACATGAAGCACACTTAATTTATTCCTGGATGTTTTTACCTTTGTGTGTCCAATTTTTTCCCCCTGGATTTTCATTAAGCTGTATTTATTTTGTACAAGCACTATGATTTCAAAGCGTGTGTATTCTTGTGAATTTTTGTTTTTTATTGTCTCGCAGGGTGATAGTGTATCCTAAGTTAATCAATTATATAAGAAATGTAGACTGGCCGTGCACTGAGCTTTGCTTATTGATCAGAGCAAAGCTGCACCGCGGCCGGCTTTGTGTTTATCGGAAGTGCTGAGCTGTACACAGAGC